ATTTCGATGGCCTCCAACCTAATAGCGATGGCCTCCAACCTAATAGCCAATAGCGATGGCCTCCAACCAAATTTCGATGGCCTCCAACCTAATTAGCGATGGCCTCCAACCTGCCTAATAGCGATGGCCTCCACCCTAATAGCAATGGCCTCCGGGTCGTGGTCTGAAGTTTGCGTTGTGTCTGGATGTGTTCGGAAGAGTCCTTCTTTCTGCAACACATGCCGAGAAAGAACACACATCTGGCGCCTCAAAGCTTCCCACTCAAAAGCTGGGAGGCCAAAACCTTTACCATTGCCATTCAAGGTCGGTTGGTGTTTTACCCTATAAACACTGAGCTGTTCTCGCAGTTCTCGCCCTGCTCTCGCCTGAGAGGCTTCCACGTCAGCGTTGCTCACCGATAAGTTGCGGCTCCTTGAAAGGCAGTCGATCTCCTGGAAAAGCGGCCGAGCCCAATTCGCGAGACTCTGCACCTCATAGCGCAACGATGGAGCCGCTCATGGAAGGCCGAAGAAGAATCCAGCCAGGTGTCAAAAGTACATCCTGGAATCATATCACCCAGCAAGTCCAAAGGACGGGTTAAACTGGTGCGTTGACCCACTGGGTCATATGAAATCATATGCAATCTAGATCCATTCTCAAGGACGGGATGGTGGAGACGAAGATGGGATGAGGCAAAACCGAGACGTGGAAGACGTGGACCTCCCCAAACCAGACGTGGAAGATGTGGAAAAAAAAATAAGCTGCCAAAAAAATGCTGAATCATGGTGTTGAAGGAGAAAAAGGTGTATATTATACATATATGTATATATTGTGTAATGTTAAATGGCAATATACCGCGGCTCGATGAACCCTTCTGTCGGTCATCCATAGAAAGTCTGCACAAATAATCTGGGATCAAAATGGATCAACTGAATTTGGTTTCTTCATGCTGGACTGGCACTGTGCAAGCCTCTATCTGACCAGACCAAAAGAATACCTTGTGGGAATGGCAAGACCTGTGTGGGGAGGAGCAAATGCCTGCCCTTTTCATTACCTGGGCACGGGTCACTGTCAATGTCAATATCCCTTTGCAAGCTATGATTTGAACTCGGAATAGGACCCATGGCTAAATAAAGATATTGCTTTTCAAGATGTCCTCCGGAGCATGGCGATTGTACATGCGGGTGCTGGATGTGTCATAATATCAAATGAGTGCCTCTTTCACCTCTAAAACAGATCTGCCGAATCCGAAACATTGTATACCAGCTTTGCAGACCGTGCTTGAAACCCCTCACCCTTAAAAGCCTTTGCACGATTGATTTTGTTATTTTTGGAACACCGGAAAACCGCAAATGGAGGATGTCGGCTCGAACTGTTCGGCCTGCACATCACCGAACCCAACATTCGGAATGCCTCACCCTGCAGGTCCAATCTGATCCAGGTCCAAACCTGGTCCTGAAAAACCTCAAACTGAGTACCAGGGGCCCCACATGGCCCATCGTTCACACCTGGTTTTCTAGCAAAGAACATAGTTCTTGTATGTGAAAACCTGTATTTTTCGTGGTTTGCTTCGGGCCCCTGGTATATAATGCTGTATTAAAACGTCCAGTCTGGTCCGCTTCGGTCCCTTGCGGACCTTTAGGGAACGGATCTCTCTGATCTCCCTGTCGCTCGACCGACACATGTGGCGGATAGATATGGCAAACTGAGCTCCAAGAACGACCCTCAAAAAGAAGGAACTGGTCTAACAAAATTTGGACTGAACTCTTGGCAGTCCCCTCCGCACGTCCTGCTGCGACGCATCCTGCTGCGACGCATCCATCGCACGCTCCACCTGGCAGAATACTGCACATATATATATATAGCTTTTCTTAGCCAAACCATGGAAAACCATGAAGCAATATAAAGCAGCATGGACCTGCGAATGGATGCTTTTGTGTTGGGGGGGAATTACCATCCTTGCAACAAACATGGTTTCGTGTGTTTGGTATTTGGATTTGGTCTGTCCACGCATGTCCATGCCATCCACATCAGAACGAAAGCTGATCCCGTGATACCCAGTCGCAGGACAAGCCTGGGACTGGTCGACCGCGTTCTTGTCATGGTCAGTCACCGTGTGTGGATTCTCCACGCGTTCTGGGGGGAGAACGACAGCTCCACCCAAAGGTGACTGTCCATCCGACATCCGAGGTATCTCTTAAAGGTGTCCATCCGAGGTGTTGATTGATATTCAAAGGCCATGGACTGCACCACGGACGCAGTCGTCCGAATGGGATCCTCCATGCGTAGCGTAGCTTGGCGCGGGGGCTCCGGAGAAGGCCGGGACAACCGGGCGGAGCGTGCCACGCGAAATCCAAATACCTTCAACAGAAGGTACGACTGGACCCTCCTGGCTACATCACAGAGTCTCCGTCTTCACCTCCGGAGAAGGTCTTTTGGATCCGGCTAGCCGGACGGAGCGTGCCGTGCGAGAAACCATCGCCTCTAAAGCCTTTTCTCGTTCGCTTTCGCTCTCAAGGGCGTGTTGCTCCGTCTGCACCTCCTCAGGCTGCCTGGCACGACCAGATCCGACGCGGACCCACTCGAACCCCACCACCGAATTCCGGGTAAGACTCGTCCTCAGAGTCGCGTCGCCCCCGATCACTCCGATTGGGTGGAGGCCCTCGCGGCCATGGCGGTCGAACATCAGAATCCGCGTGCGGCCCGAAACTTGCCGGGGTCGGACACACCGAAACACAGGGGGAAAACGGCCCGGTTCCCAAAGCCTAAATTGGTTTGAGGGATTCTTAGGGTGGTTGCAAGAGGTGCGTCGATGGTACGATAGAAACTTCATACGGGCTTGGCAAAAAATAGTGGCTAAGCTCTTTCTGCTTGATTTGCGCAGGCTGAACATGAAATCTATCGCTTGGGAGGTCCATATGGCCAAGTCCCCCCCTTTCTTCTCGCGCAGTCGACATGGAATTGCCGTCGACCTTTTATTTCGAGGTCATGGCACGGGCCCATTGAACCATCAGTTCTGGGGTGTATGTACCAGCACCCGACTCAGGCGAGGTTAACTAAGACCTCTGGTCCGGGCCCTCTGCTCCGAGGTCCGACCTAGAGAGTCGGGTTTACCACCATATAAGCAGAATCCAGGCCCCCCCTCGTTCTGCTGTTTTCTTCGTCTTCACCCTCAACCATCAGTCGCAGGTGTTCAGACGATGCAAAGCAGCAACTCAATTCTTCCAGAAGTACCTCTGGATCCCCCACAGAGTCGTCCCAGAAGAAGGTATCCCACAGAGTCACGCGCTTCTGCCTACTTCGTTCTTGCAGTGTTCCAGTGTCGATGCCCCATGTTCTTCCCCAAAGTCCGTCGGAGTTCCGACCTGGAATTTTGGCCTTCAAATAAGTACTGAATTTAAATATCATGGACAAAACATTACCCAACAATGGTGGATTCATGTGAATTCGGTAGTTCGGCTACTTAAATCTCATGGTGGTTTGAATCCTAGGGATTACCCTCCGACTATATAAGATGGAAGTGCAAAATGGCCTGTTGGACTGTTGGATGACTATTCTCCTCTACAAACAGGTGGTGCCATCCACTTCCATGTTGTCCATGCTAGTGAGTCAAAGGGTAATTATCACTCTGGATCAATAAACCCACCCGATGGAATTGGACATCGTCTTCATAGACTTCATACTGGGAGATATTGGGAGGGGGTTGATGAATTCTAAGTGAGTCGACAGTCTACCTTTAAATATGGCTCATCAAGTCTACCAAAAAAAAACAACACCAGATTGAATGATTGACAAAGATGACAGAGGTACTAAGAGTTGAACAAAATCCTGACCGGTTCGCGAACCAAAACGGAGGAAAGGATCGAACGCCCCCCGACACACCGACCCACCGACACCACCCGGAGGCTTCGAAAACCGAGCGCCCGTGCTTCTGATTCTGCTCCTGGCAGATCGCCCCACAGTGTCTGGTCGGCCCGGTGGGCACCCCAAAACATGAACCGGCCTCATGAGATGGCCCGGCTTCTTCAGTACGGCTCCCTTTTGAAGGTTCCTAAGTGAAAATGACCCTAACAGGGAGGCGTTTTTTCGTGATCGAACCAACCAACCAGGTGATCAAGTTCGGTCACGAACTGAAGAACCAGGGCTGTTCAGTATTTGTAAAAGAAATATGGCTCACTTCAGATCTGGTTGTTTGCCTTTCCAGGTACTGAAAAAGACAGGCGAAGCAGATCTGAGTCGCCGCGGACCTCACACCAATACCAACGCGTCGCCAGCCCTCCAACTGGAGTCTATACCTTCCAAGAGGTTTCCAGAAAACCAAATCCTCGGATTTCAGACTTCCCGTAACTATCCGATCCATAACTCCACACACCACAGGTTCATCCTGTCAGACAGGCCTGAAGAAACGCCGTCTGCACCTCTCGCTCCGCAGATTTGGAGCAAAGGAGCAGCGAGAGCACCTCCCAGGAGAAAATGGAGGTTCGATCTCGGTCGATGAACGATGTGCAGCGAAGACCGGGTGACGGACAGGCTTCACGTGAAGCAGCACCCGACTTCACGACGGTGCTTCCTGGTGACAACAGGTGCCCAGGTTCACCACCTGTTAGGGTCTCTAAACAGCCTGTTAGAAGACTCTCATTGATTTCAGGCGTCGTCCTCTGTGTTGGTACTGGTTGTGAAAACATGAACATGACTCACTCTTCAAAGCAGGGTACCGGGGCCATCGCTCGTTCGATCGGCTCGACACGCTCGTCGCCTGGAGGCCAAAGGGGTGGTGGGGTGTGATGTGCCGCTCGCGCCTTTTTCCTCACATCACTGGGGTGGCGCACCACGCACATACTCCTAGAACTTGACACTCTGACCCATTGGACGTGCAACGACCACAAAAATGGCATAGAATATGCGGTTCTGTGAGCAAGGGAAGGAGCTGCTGCTGACATAGCGGGAGCACATGGCTCCCACAAGAGACTTGCATGAAACTGGGATCGATTACAGCAGGTTCTCCACATAGCCGACAGCTGCCACAGCTGGTGCTTTCTAGCTCAGCTTCCTTCAACGAATCTTCCACTTTGGCCAAGCAGTCCAGCACGGCAGATCTGACCACACTGCCTGGTAAGGCCTTGGCACGCTGTCGCCAGTATGCACACGCGGCCGCTCGAACGACTGGGTTTTTGGGAGGAAGTTCCGCCAGGAGGTATTTCCTACGAAGATCTCTGGTGGCTTTGTGGCCCAACTCCAGCAAAGCATTGCAAACTTGACACATTGCCAGCTCATCCTCTTCTACACCTGCAAAACTGCTCTGTCCTCCTTTTGCCGCGTTTAGCTCTGTGTCACTGGTCCAAGTCTTCAAAGCCAACTCATTCAGCTCGTGCCGGATCTGCGCGAGGAAATGCCTACGCCGGGGCGAAGCTTCAGACGCCCAGCGTTCGGTGAAGCTCTTGGGACTGCTCAAGGTGAAGGTGACTTGCTGTGCGGCCGTGTGGCGCAGTAGCAAGGACACCTTACAGCCAGCGGCACTACCTGTGGCACTGGAAGCCGCCGAATCGGAGATGTGTTGAAAGGCGCCTTGGAGGCCTTCTTGCAGTTCCCAAAGCCACTGCAGAATGGATTCCAAGAGTCCGTTCGGTAGTTCAGAACCTTCACAGGGCTTCTTCTCGTCCCAGCTAGCTCGACACATGGCACCAAGCGACTTGCCAGCACCGAAGACCATGCTGCGCCAAGCTTCACTCACATCCCAAAGGCTTAGATACAAAGGATAAGAGCTTCCGCCAGCCGCCTTCCGCCGTCTATGGTGGATGTGATCACCGTTGTCACATGTTTCACTCTGAGTCTGTTCCATTCCTTCCGGTCGAGACGGTCTCCGCGCGGCCCTTCCGGTCGAGACGCTCTCCCGGCGGCACCTTCTTCGATACAACGAGTCGCCCACGTTCCGAAGCAGTGCAGTGAAGGCATGGGCTGGGCTTCCCAAAGAGCTGGCAAGAAGAAAGGTCACCGGACGGATCTGTGTCGTGCGGGTGGAAGGAAGAACTGTTTGAGTGACGAGCATGCAATGGCTGGGTGACAAGGCGAAACCTGAGTGGTCAAAAACCGGAATCATGCAATATTGTATGCACGATAAATGCAATTTCCTCATATGTTGTCCACTCTTTGGGATAGAACATGATAGAACCACGATGACAGGTCCAAATGGTTCAAACAGATTCAAAACGAGGATCCATCTAAAGGACCTGTCTACAGCTGAGAAACCACTGAACAGCTTCTTATCCTGCAAAAGTTCTCGCTCACGAGCAGCCGTTCTCACCATCCGAGTTTCCATACAGATCGCTGCTTGCTCCGCAGCAGTGAGATAGTTCTGCATGCTCTTTGCCACCAAGCTGCAAAACCTGCTCGGTCTCAGGAAAAGACCACGGCATGAGCCCTCTTGTGCCTCAGCTTCCTCCAGCTGCCAAATGACTGCATAGCCCGATGAGTCCAAGGTGAGCACGTTGGCGCGGCTCACGAAGGAGGAGCCCAACATAGGATCGGACGCCGCCAAAACGCCGGTGGTGTCACAAAGCAAAGAAACAATTGGGAGTCCGTGGCAAGGTGTCGAGGCCATCAGCCAGGAGACGTGCTCTTCTTCGTGGCGGGTGCTCTTTTCGCGTCGCGAGCGTGAGGTCTCCAGGTGTCCATCGTCTGAGATGCGAAGCACGGCACAGGAGAGCTGGACGCCATGGGCAATCGCCACCAGCAAATCAGTCGAATCACCATCAGCGTCACAGAAGACCTTCACCTCTGTCACACAGCGGTCCGCAGTTTCCAAGTCGGAAGTTGAGATCGGTGAGATCCGAACCTCACGGTCCTTGTGATCTTTCGTTGAAAGGTGTAGCTGCTTGAAGTGAAGACGTCCAAGCTTGGTACCCAAAACAAGCATAGACTTGAGAGTCTGCGGTTGTGCTCCAAAGCTTCTTGATACAGTCAAAGCAGTAATGACCTCAGAATCCAATGAGATAGACTTCACCAGCTGACAAGTTCCACTTGGGAGGCAGTGCCAAATCACCACATGAGGCCCTTTGCTGGCACATAACACAGCAGAGAATCGTTTTCCACTTGGCCGAACTGTTCCTGCCTTTCCTATCTTCCGCTCGTCTTTGCGCTCGTCTTTCCCTGTGCGTCCTTCAGACTCGATCAAGACTGGTGTGGGTGCGAAGCACACCTCCACCACCCCATTGGAGTCAGTGACTCTTCTCTGCAACTCTTGGAGCTCTACAGGCTCATGCGCCTCATCGCAGGGAGCATAGACCGTCACGTGGCCACTCGAATCGCCCACGGCCAGCAGAAACGATGCTTGAGGCGAACATCCCGCCGGAGACCACGACATCGAGCAGCACTTCCTCTGGGCCTCGAAGGGAGCCGAGGAAGACCTCTCCTCCCGCAGGCGCTTGGAGGGCGTGATCCTGAGGACAGGACGGTTGGGGGAGACCATATGGGATCTGAATCTGAATCAAAGAGGGAAAACAAGGATCAAACACGACGAGTCTGGGACTGCCAGTTCGGACTGCCGCCCCAGACAGACCCCAAACAGACCGACAGACCACCAAGTCCTGGCCGTTTCTCGGCATAGAATGGCAGTCCCAAGCAGGTCGTGTCTGGGAAGAATCAAACATCCAGGGATCCAGTTACCTCTATAAACCATGTCGGTGACTCCAATGGTTCCTATATGGGCCATAAACCTCCGATCTGGTTCGGGTTCGTGGGATCAGCGGATCCGCTGATTCAAAACGGTGAACAATTCGTGTGAGTATAAGCACAAACGCACGCACCAGGGCGCACCAGGTCATGTCTCATAACACTCATATGAATGGTATAATGTATGCTTTAAGGCCAAAGACCTTACATGTCAGCCAAGCTTCGACTTCTCCTTCTCTTTCTCACCGTGTTTGAACTTCCTCACCAGCCAAGCCTCGCCGGTCTTCTCCAAAGCTGCCTGCATGTCGATCACATAGCATTCCTCGTCCGTCAAGAAGGACAGCAACGTGCCTTCCTGGGAGCTGCTTTAGTCAGGAACCGGTAAAAGAATCTACTATTCAGACCACTCCATTCGTCCAGCAGCCTTGGAGCTGCAGATGCTGCAGTCCTGATTCAGCCAGTCTGAAAAACCACAACATCACCCGTTTTTTACATCACTCGCGCGACTGGCATGGAGTGTTTTTTTTTCCCATGGCATGTCTCGGATGCTGGATGATGAAAATCCTCTGTACATGGCAGGTGATGCCATCCACAGAAGGATCCCATGACCCCAGATGTGACCCGTTCAGCCCCAAATCCTTTGGAGGGGTTTGGGGGTCGAAGCCTGGGGTCGAATCTGTTCCAATCTCTATAGGTTTTGAGGGACCAGTTGGGCTGTGAAGGGAACATCTGGGTACATTGAACACATCTTCAAATCCCCCAACTGATCGCCACCAGGTGACCATCCTGTCTGGGTGCCCATCCGCACCCTGTAATCCGCGGATCTCCAGACAGGATCAAACAGGACTCCCAAAAAGGATAGTCCAGTGGTCCAGGTACAAAACAGCCGTCAAATCCATTTCCAATGTACCTGGACTTTTGCATACCTCCTCCGAAAATCTGGGCCCCCCATATGTCGTACCTGTTTTGGTGTTCGGGTCGGCACTACCACCGAAGGAAGGGCTTCTATCTCGGAGTGCCGACTCCTCCGATTCTCCGAGCGTCCGACCACCGCGGCGTGCCACGACTGGGCGACGCGCACACCGCCGAGGCCGCCGCCACCCAGGGCAGCTCGGTCTCCATGGTGGAACCGAGGCCCGCGAGGCCAGTGCGTTCGGAACGTCCAACGGGGATATTGCTTGGATGTGCTTTCGCTTTCGAAGTGTACTTCGAGATATTGAGCGCGGTCAAATAAATCTAAAGACATCTAAAGACATCGCAAGAAAGGAGCCAGTTTAGCTGTAGATGCGTTTTTTTTCGGTCTGTTGAGGTCATCCTTACTCAGTGATCAGTGACTACTAATTGAGCCTTCAAAGTCACAAAGTTCGACCAAAGGTCTATTCATTGATCCATGTGTCAATACTGCCTGGAGGGACTTGGGTGAAAAACACCAGATGTTCTAAACCGCGTGTCTAAATCATTGAGTACAAACGCGTGAACCGCAGCAACTTTGGCGAAACGGCTTGCAGGCGATGACGCCAGCTTGGACGGACGCATCGAGTGTCTAACATTGTCTGACGATGGCAGGTGCGACTGCTGAGAAATTTGAGGATGCCGAGGTTGAATCGGAAGAATGGGGATGGTTTTGGGTGAGAGAAGACGAGGTTATGGCTACATCTTTTATGGATCGGGCATCGGTCCCCAGATCTTCTACCTCTTCAGGAGATCCATGATGTTCAATGTCGAGATGTAGTTAGACTCGCTCCAAGTGGAGGACGAATCCACCCCGCTCAAGCAGGCCCTCGGGTCCGGAATGGTTGGTGCTGGTCCCAAGTTGCAGCTGTTTATGCTGGTGTTCTGTCGGTCCCCACGCCTCAACAGCGATCGGTCCGAATTTCATCTTCGGATCGCCCTGGGGCGAAGCTCCTCCACCCTGGGGCATGCCCATGGCCCTCCACCCTCGTCAGATGGGCTAAGAACATGGGCAAACGTCTGGGTCTGGAAACCACGGATGGTTGAACGTGTCTGAAAGAGTTTACTGTAGATGTACTAAGTAGTTTGGATTAATTAGATGTGCTTTGACCCACAACTGGCTGCCCTTTTCGAGATATGAGACACGTGTCCAGTCTCCCTGCCGACTTTTTTGCCAGGTCCAGTCTTCCGCTGCGGCACTTTGGCTACGAGAGACTTCGACTTGATGCGCCCATGCAGAACGATGGGACTCAGTTCTTCACAGTTCTTCAGACATCACTGGACAAGAAGTGGTCATCTCTCGCCCTCTGCCTATGGCAATGCAGGGCGGAAGATGACATCAGCTCTCAAGACATACTTCGTTCCGAAGGTCACCTGAGTCGCAACGCGTGTACAAGACACCGGGTCACCTGGGAAGCGGCACAGTGAGTTCAGAGCCTCCTGTTCCAAGTGAGTACATGTCATCATGTCACCCATGTCCGTGACTCGTCTCGTTCTGCCCATCGTGATGTGGATGTGCCACACGAAGGATGGAACTCGACCGGTGAGTGCATCAATGGTTGGGAGAATCACACAAAGCCCACCGAGGAAAGTGGTCCGAACAAAAGGTGCTGAAGATAGACCATAACAAAGAATGTCTTTGGGATCTGTATGGATCTGTGGCCATACACTCTGAAACCGGTAAAAGACACCAACATCTTCACCATCTTCCCTGCTTTCCCTGCTTCAATGCCGCTCACCTCGGCTTCCTCTTGGGGCGTACAAAGCTCACCCTGGGGGTACAACAGCGCCAGGCCCGTCATTGGTTCGAAGACCACCGGATCTTGGAACGGCACATGGAAGACGCCTCGAGCGAAACGCCAGACGTGAGGCACGGCGTGGTCTGAGCTGCGCGTCGGGGTGGTCGGGGTGGAGATGGGCGAGAACGAACGAATCGCGCTGGGTGTACAGCGCGAGGCACGGGGGTTGATCCACAACTGAAGCTGGCTTGAGGACCTATATACAGTATATAGGACCATTACTTTTTCTTGATCAGAAGAGTTGCCAGATCAAACAGCTGGACGTTGCTTAATTGCGATCGGAAGACTCATGAAGTCTATGCTGAGACTTACCTCCTTTCATTCAAAACGAGTCAAGCACCGGACCAGTGATCCGGACTCGTTGGCACGAGAGTGCGCCATCAACAGATCCGATCCGAAGCGAAGAATACGAGCTTATTAAGACGGAAAAACAAAGAAAAAACACGTCGAAATCTCGAAGGATCTCAGCTGAGATGCTCAGGCCACCCTCAAAGTGTTTGTCGGTTGACCCGTTCAAGAAGATTCGCAAGGAGTACTTGGAAACCCGTCCGTCCTGGAGACCGACCGAAACGGCGGGGAAGGAGGGAATGGTGAAGAGCAAATGGACCGTCTGTAATTAGCTGCTATAGACACTGTAGGGAGAGGTTGAAGCTCTCCCAGCGACCTGTTAAAAGGTGTTCTGAATTCAGTTTTGAAAGGAACTTATCGTGAGGACTACGGTGATTTAGGGTCTTTCGCACGACTGGTTACCGACTCCCAGCGACGCAACTGGATGGTTTGGGAACGATACTTGGCCTACAAATCATCTACCAGCACCACCCGATACTGGGTGGTTTGGCGTCACCCCGCCACTGACCAGGTATATGATCCACCCAGCCATCCTTTGGGCGGTGCTGGCAGATGATCACGTGAAGCCTTTCTCAACAACCCCGTTGACCGGCCCGAATGCAAAAAGACGAAAGCAAATTTGAGAAAGCCATTGGCAATGTCTTTTTGGCTGTGGTCACCCCCATCGATAAAGGATGTGAATGACACTTCAGGGTAACGGTTCTGTCGTTTGCCTCAAGTCTTTAACAGAGTTACAGCAAAGGTTTTGTTGAAGGTACCTGTGTGGTTGAGCCCATTCTTTTCTGGAGCGGAACAAGCCAATCGATGATTGATCAAGTTTGTCATAAAAGTCCTGGATTCCTGGATCAATGACTTGGTAATTATATACAGTAGAATTTATCATTGCCTCTACTGCGATATCTGTTAACTACTTGGCGACTGGGCTTGTTGATGTCTATCACCGATATCTGCACCTACATCAAATAACCAAAGCTGAAAAACAAATACATAGTAATACTAATATATAAGACAACACAACTAGTTGTTCCAAAGGGGTGCTCATTGGAAGGGTGCCCAGAACATTCACTCACTAGGACAAAAACCATTCCCACATGGACCTGCTGGTGGGATTCGATGTTTCTCAAACCCACGGTGAAGGCGATGTTGCTGGACCCCCCCCCCGGGTCGAGCCGAACAGTGTCACAATGATGAGCGAACAGATCACTTCAGAGGTCTCCACTCGTCACTCTCACAGTTTCATCTCCACGATGCCACGAGAGAGCAAAAAGAAATTCCGGCAAGAGACCCCAACCAGTGTTGACTGGAATAGAAGAAGAGAAGGGTAAATAAAACCAACTCAAGAACTGGTAGTGTGACCCCATGGAGACATGAATATATAAATTTTGATGAGTAAGCAGGTGGAGGCAATGTCGTGCCATACAAGACAGTGGGGACCAAGGACGGCACACAAACCACTCTCCAGATCAACCAGTCCAGAACTGCTGCAGCGAACGAACCGATGACCTCCCCACCATTTGATGGCTTCTCCTCCAGTCGAATGGGTCGGTCTGTGTGCAAGGCCACATGTCCACCCTGGACGAACTTCTGGATTCGGACCACTTCGTTCAGGCCACAGGGGATCCTGAGGCTAGCGCGGCGCCCAAAACGGCTTGGCTTCAGCTCTACGGCGGGAAAAGGCTTTAGGCAGCTTTTGGGTGGGCCAACAACTCGTGGGATGCCAAGAGATGTTTCAAGATGCACAGAAACCCGTGTTCTTGGGCGTCGGTGCATGGCTCGCTTCGAAAGGAACGGTTTCTGGGAGTCGGGCTCGTCCGTTCGGGAACGATCTTGGTCGCAGTTCGTCCATCGAATGCTCATGCCAGCCCAGCGAGGAGTCCTTTGAGAAGAAAAATCTATAGTGGATTGAGAGAACCAATGGCACAGACCGCAATGTCGGTGGTTTGTATGGACCCCCATCTGTCTCGGACATCATGGGGTCTGTGCCATCTACTCTGAAACCACTGTAACATATAGTGTATTATAAGGTATCATAATGAAGAAACTGAATATAGCTGGATAAACAGAACATGGACCTTTTAGGACTCTTTTTCAGTGGATCGCAGCAAATCCACATTTCTTTGCCCAGGTGTATCCTTTGGTCTTTGGAACACTTGGGGGCTAATCTGCAGCTATCAAGGGCGATATGATATCTGACGTGATTCAGGACACAACTCCTGGCTGATTCAGGATATGCAGCTCGAAGTTCGATCCCTCTCGAAGAGAAAACGGTCGATGGCTTTGCATGGAAAGGGCTGAAGCAGGGTGATCCCCGCACTTCCTGCGTAGGCTTCTTGACCAGTTCCATGGTCGGGGTGCTGAGCTTGGAGGATGGTAGGGGTGCCCCAGTCACGTCCACTCACTCAATTGCTTGACGAACCAAGACGAATCATTCCCAGATGGAACTGCTGGTGGGATTCTTTGATTCAAACATGTTGTCTCACCTGTTGTCTCAGTCGAGTTCTTCGATAGGCACACACAGAACCTACCTGCACCCACGAGTGATCGAGGTACTTCGTGACTCGGCGGGGGGGGAACATCACCCAATCCCCTTTCCCAGACACTCCATGTATGCCATATATGCCTACATTGACCCCCCAAACCACCCCAATGTAGGCATATACGGCATACATGGAGTGTCTGGGTTTGGCATGGGTTTGGAGGATCAAGGTAGGGCTCGAGGCTTAGGGTATTGATGCAGCTCTTGATCCACACAACTGCTGGATGGTGCAGTTGATGAGACATCCGCCAAGTCTCATTCCATCCAATCGCACGGTTCTCAGCAGCCAGCCGAGCCCAGACTTCCAAAGAGCTTCAGCGAAACCTTGGAGGTACCCAACAAGAATCAGCGGCAAGTAACTCATACCTCGAGCCCATTTGACCTCTGCTTTGATGGGCAAAGACCATATATTTTGTGTGGTTGGTGGTCCAAAATGGAGGTCACTCAAGCTCTAGGACTCTAGGTAATTCACTCACTGAAATAATAATGGGAGTGGAAAACCACCTGTTTGGTATTCAGATTTCATGGGGACCATTTTCCACTTCCATAAATAACTGGTTCAGGGAGTGTGCATGTCAAGAGTTCCAATACTTGACATGTTTTACCTCTTGAACACCAGTATATCTTCTATCAGTGTGGATCTTCGTAATTGAGTGTTACCACCTTCTGCCAATTCCGGCACTCCTGTGATATCTCACCACCCCAAAACCGCCACCCAAACCATCTCAAGACCTCTGAATGCCTGCTCAGTTCCCTCCTGAAATTGCTTCACAGAGGCTCGCATCTCTGATGTCCACGTAGCATAAATCCACCACCCTGAGCCGCACAAGGTCTCGGAAGTGGCAGCTCTCGGCGAAGTCGATGATTTTTTCGCACTCCTTCGGCGTCAGCGATGGCCTCCACCCTAGTACCAAGAGAGGGTGAACAGCCCTATAGCCCATCCGTACCACTGCAGGGTCCTATATGGTCTCTCAACCTCTCTTGGTAGCTTCTAGCTATACCAGTAGCTTCTTGTTCATAGAGTATAGTTCCCGAACAGGGTGAGGTGAAAGCCCGAGCTGGGCGGCATAACTTGATCACGTTCAGTAGTAGTAATTGCCTCCACCTACCAGCGATGGCTCTCCAACCTAGTAGCGATGGCCTCCTACGAAAGCTCTGGAAAACACAGTGCCTTCACGGTCTGCGGGTTGGTTGTGGTGACCTGGTGGTGGTGAAGGTGGTGATATGTCTGGTTCTAAAGTGACCCAACAATGGTTTGGAAAGTGACGACTAGAAAAGGGGTTGATAGTGGAAATCAAGTTTAAGTCAAGCCTGTAGTTTTGGGGGTACTGGTTAATGTTGCTACTGTTCCTTAACCTTCAGCTGCGGCACTTTCTAGATGTTGCATCCTTTTTTCATGAGCTTTGAAGGGCTCTGAGTGTCCTTTGAAGAGGATTTGAAGGTTCCTCGTGACTTGTTAATGTCTCATCCATATCCCTTTTGTATCCATTTATTCAATCCCCTCGTCACAAACTTATCACAAGCTCCAACGCTTTCTGGGGCCTTCCCCAATGATAACCAAGAGTCGAGGACTTTTGCGACAGACCTGGTCATCGGTACGTGCCAAAATCCTTGCAACACCTCACATGGTCAAGGTGAATTGGCCCCGGCCTGACACACCACGCCTGACCCATCGATCAGTCCTTCTGCGACAGGAGAGAAGGGATACCCATGCAATCCACATTGCGATAGTACAAGGGTTCTGGAAATCGGTTCTCTTCAAAGATGAGTGAGAGGGCAGATCGAGTCCTGAATCACGTCACGCACAGTTGACAAGTTGTGTAACCAAACACAGGATAACATGGGCGATGTACATGTCTCTTGAAGCATGATCCTGGATTCCAGAAAACTCCAGATTGGAAAGCAACACAAAGAGAAGTTAAGGCCAACTGTTAAGGTTATTGTGTGTGTGAACACGATTGTACTATAGCATATCAAAACTGGTTGGGACCGGGTAGAACTCAGCTTCCACCCATGCTATTCCGGAACAAAAAAGGGGATTCCAGCTTTGCCCCACAGCTTTGCCAAATCAACACGTAAAGTAATTCTGCGATAAAAACGTGTTTGAACCACCCACTTCTGCACATCCTCCGACGCGCGCGGCTGGGAAAACGCCCAGGTACCGGCATCTGGGGCGTCCGCCTTTGGGTACTCCTTGCGGTGCTTGGATGACCAATTGCACGTGAGGCGAAGTCAAAGATTCCTGCAGGCTCACCTCACCCAAAATTTGCGGAATGAGTCAGAACGCCCTGTAATGAGCACGTCGCAAGTGATTTTTGCGCACGAGGCTGGTGTTTGGAGGATGCCGCAAAGGAGGAAAGAAGCCCAATGTTGGGGTGAAGGTTCTTTCATCTTCTTTCCTATATACACAACACCATCTTTGGGAGTCATTTCCACCTTTCGGACCGGTGTGGGTCAACTCCGAGTCAATCCTTCGACTCAGATTGGATGAGACTTCAGTCCAACACATGACTGGCAAACCGCTGACCCGTCCGACCACGTCCGCTTGGGAAACAAAAACACTACCACTACCTCTGTTCGTCGCCCTCTGAGTCGTGTTCCCTGCATGCCCACGGTGGTTGACTGGGGGGCAATGGGGCGGCATATACGGCAGTCCCAGACGGGTCGCGTCTGGGTACTGAACCTCATCATTTCCATTCCTTGACCATCCCCCCCTTTCCGATTGTGCCCATGCAAGCCACTGGTAGCGGGAGAGTCGAGACTTTGTTCACCTTCCTCCAGGTACGTTCAGGAGCGCTGCTCGCAGCTGGTATGCAGTCTTCATCTTCCTCCCCTGATGGAGCGGAATCGTTTTCCCAAACAACTGGCACAAGAGAGATCTGAGCGGTTTGTCCTAAATACAAGGCATTTTGTAAGCACAAGGCATCTGCATTAGATAGAGATACAAGTATGGGGGATCTAAATACCAGTTGGAAATGTCATCTCAAATGGTCCATCAGTGAGAGACTATCGTCTGTTCTCATCGTCCGTTTTGGTTGATTCGTGCCTTGTAACGCTCGACACGGAACGAAGAAAGAAGTCTTGTCGCGCCACCTGCTCCGACACTTTGGTCGGCGCCTCCCAAAAATAGCACACCGCGTGTACATCATGTCCAGATATCAAATTTGCTTATTAACTTAGGTTTGAAGGCCATCGCTATTGGGTTGGAGGCCACCGCTGTCGCTAATAGGCTGGAGGCACTGGTGGAGGCCATTGCTATTAGGATGGAGGCCGTCGCTATTGCGTTGGAGGCCATCGCTATTAGGTTGGAGGCCATTGTTATTAGGTTGGAGGCCATTCTGCTCGGATCATCTCTTCATCTGTTCCATCCACCATCCCCAAACTCTGGGCCCTCCAAAGACCTCCATTGGCCGGTGATGACCGGTACCCCATCCACCCAGAACCTCTCCAGGCCTACATAGGCCCGCGCACGTGCACGCAGTTCTGCACGCGGCGCGCAGTTCTGCACGTCGGCGAAGCGGAGACCCTGATACGCATTGCTGCGATAGACCGAGACCTCTCCCACATAGCTGCGCCGCATGGCGCCAGCATGAATGAGATGTGCGCTTCTTCTTTTTGTGGGAGCGCCGAAAGCCGTGCTCTTGCGCGTGAAAATTGTCTCGGTCTCCAGCAGATGAAAAAGACATGTCTATAAAAAGGTCGGAATCTGTTTGGAAGGGAGGGTTGTTAGATGTTGTTAGGGCCCGAGCAGTCTCTCAACGACCTGTGTTCGGGTCCTGGTTGATGGATTTTGTCCAGTCGATCGCTTCCATTATTTGAGTGATTTTTCCACAACAGCTGTCATTCTTGATTGCCGGCATGAATTCAGTTCCCGAGGCGGATGGATTCAGGTTTCAATGATTCGCTGGCAATCCAAGAAATGCATTCGCCTATTAGATCAAATAGATCCGTCTTTCCCATGCTCTTTTTCTTCCTGGCAGCTGTCATGGAATCTTCATCACTTGAGCCATGGATAAACATGGAAATCACTTGGTTGTGATTACCCTGTCCACTTGGATCCAATTAGGGTGCATATACATGAAACATGTACAGACTCCCCACATCTTTCAATCAGACCCTGTTGAAAAAAAACAAAGGGTAATTTGCGAGAGTCAAACCCTATACAGTATGATATGATGATTGAGAGGGATAATTGTAGTATTATGTCTGACTTGTCCTACCTAGCGTGTTGGGGCTCCAGGTTTTGACCCATCCCCATTTACGTGTCTATTCGATTTAAAGATTTCTAAGGTGATTCAGTCCATCGCTCGTCTTCCACCTACAGGTGATGTTCGGCCACTCCTTTGCCAGCTGTACCCCCGCAGGTTTCCACTCGTTTCTTGCCACCTTCCTGGCAGACGTGGCAACTTCTTCCACAGAATCACCTGAACCCTTTTTGGTGCCTCTCATATTATAGGTCTCTAGCTGTGACCCTTTAGAGAAAAGGAGTCGCATGTTCTTGAAATCTTCTAAAGAACTTGATATCGTCCATGTGTATTGGATTGTCACAACGTAGTGATGATGATGCTGCAGCCATGGATCATTTCTGGGTGGGCAGCTAATATGATTCTCAGACATATCGTTGAAAGAGAAGCCTTGCTCCGGGCCTCATCCTGGAAGTTGAGTCTTTGAAGCAGCTGGCGCTGATGAGTTTCCACCGTCGCATGAATATCCTCGGGTCACGGGGGTCTCTTTCGACGGCGAAGAAGAGGCGAACAACGGCGGCGAACACCGACCTCACGAGTTTCACGACCTGCCGCGTTTCACCGCGAGTTTCGATTCGTGCGAGTTTCGATTCAACGTGTCAACGTGTCAAGCTTCCCACACACTCCGAAGGTAGAAGATCTGGTCACCAGGTCAAGCCAGGTCAATCCACCACCCCCGCTGATGGGTCCCCAGTCCTCTCGTCTCACCGCCCCTAGGGACCCGTACCGCCAGGGTCATGGAGCCTAGCTGGACCAGGTCCCCCCAACAACCCGGTCCAGAAATGGGGTGCGGTTCAAGGTTCAAAGAGGAACTCCCCAAGGTCTGTCAGGTCTGTTCTTGTAACTTGTCACTGTGATTTTTCTCAGTATACCTTGAAGTTGAGTCTGTCCGTTTCCATAAAAGGTATGGGTCAAAGGGCTATGACATACCTCATGTCTTGTTGTCACCAACAAGGTGTTTCCTCCACTTTGACCCTCGCGCTGAAAGACACGATCATCAAAAGCAAGCCTCGCAATACGTCTTGTCTTGTTGATCCTTTTTGAGGTTACTATACCCTATATAAGCAGTCTGATCGATTCCTATACAGACATTTTCAAAAGTCTTATGCCTCCCACACTCACATATGTGAGTGTGTTTGGCGGTGATGTGGGCATCTATATAAGTCACTTCTGAGGCATCCTGCAAGACTCTTTGACTGAGCAGACAGGCGATTTCACTGATGTCACAGATTGCAGCTGAGCTTTTTATGTATATAGAGTGTCTCAGCGTGTCTCAGGAGGAATCAAAAGAGAACCCAAAGACCATCCGACACCAACTCTTCACGTATCGACCTATGGAACAGCAATCATCTGGCTGGTGCAGTCAACCACCATGTGTTCCCAGAGGTTCTGCCTTTGTCTTCTGATTGTTGTTGCTAAGTTGTTACTCTTTCAGAGAACTTCACGAGGTGGTGGTGCGAGCACTTTGGACAATGACTGAAGTCGATCGTATTTTGTGGATCTCAGTATCTCTAGAGAAACCTGCTTGTGCCACTGCCAATGCCTGAATGATTTGTGCGATCCCTGGTTCATTTGCTTAGAAAAAGAGGGAAACCAAAAGGGTCTGGTGGACATCCACTTGCCCAAAAAGTCCATGGCGCCAGACCTTCCCTTTGGGGTACCTGCTTTTCGTGCTTTCCATCGGGTTCCGTCTCCCCTGTGCCACCACGACCTGCCTGGACTCTTGGGACTTCGGTCGTCGGCCTTGGCGAAACGGACGGACGCGGATGCACGACGCAGGTCCGAATGGAGCAGGTTCCGTGCCGGAACAAGTCTCAAGCATATAAAATATATATATATATATAATACTGTATACGTTGCAAGTGGTATGCTGTACACGATGCCAGTCACTATGGAGTGTCCTGGGGGCCGGATCCCTCCAATCGGTCACGACGATGTTTGTGTCTTGCTCGATCCGTCGATCGGCGCGCCGTCCTGACTCCTGGCAAATCAGAGGAGTCGATGCTAGGGTCGGAGCACGTGGAACCCCAAAAGCACGGACCAAGTGGAACCAGGATGAAGGACAATGTTGTTCGACCACGAGTCAATTCCGGTCGGGATGGTCTGCAGGGGAAGGCTCGGGTTCGATGTTCTATGCGACTTGGGGATATGATGCCCTGATGCCCTCTATGAATCAATCTCAAGCAAGAGTGAAAGGCCGCACCGGCAGCACGGTGATGCAAGCTCTGCGGTGCGGTCGTTGAGTCGTTGAGGGAGATAGATGGAGAGATATGTGGTGCTTTAGGATCGTGGGATCGTGGCATGCATCAACCTGAAATCAAAGAGGCACAAACCGAAAGCACAAACATGGGGAGTCCGAGAGTCCTTCATCGCTAAGGCGCGGCGCACCCCAGCAAAACCAGCCCATTGGCAAGGTAGAGAAAGGCATGTCACAAGGAAGGGTTATTGGCTGGTCATAGAAACATAGAAAGGATGGAGGCCATCGCTATTAGGTTGGAGGCCATCAATATAGGTTGGAGTTTGCTGCTGAAGTGATCTGAAGGTCTATCCAATGATCCCACAAACCTGGAGGATCACCAATGACCCAGATCATCGTGGTGTCCCCACATCGAAACCATGGAAGCTGCGATGTCGGTTCTGAGAAGCAGATCGAAAAGGCAAAAAACATGAGAACACACCCACATTCACCATACTCACCACGCCCCATATTACTATATGTCCCAGGAGTTCCCAGTGATCCCAAGTGAGTCGGAGAATGGGCACCCCCGGACTTCTTCAGAGCACACAACTCCAGTAGAAACGCCAAACACTCCAGGTCTTTCTGAAACAAACAAAGGAGCTAAAATCAATGACCAGCTTTAAAAAGACAAAACAGAAGGGTGTAACAATGGATAAGCATCAGAAAACATTTACGATCTACAGGAAACCATGGTTGTAAACTCCAAACCTATGAGTTTCCTGTAAATATTCCCTGAAGCCAACTCTGGGAGTGTAGACTCAGCAGAAGAACCATGCTCAAACCATCCTCTGTGGACTTCGGCCTGTTGCTTTCAACCTCTCTGGGTACCCCCCACCGTCTCGCCCGGGGTTGTTACCACCATGGCGGGCTAGAGTGCGGGCTCTGGCGTGCGCAGCGAGCACCAACAGGCGATCTCTTGGGATCGTTGCGTGGTGAGTTCTGGGATCTCTTCGGCTGATTCTGCATGTGTAGGTCACAGCGGAGGGGTTGTGTATCTTACTTAAATCCTTGCAAAGAGAGGAAGAAGAAACACCAACAGAAACTCCGCTTGGCGCGCACTGTGGGTAGGTTGATCCATCTTTTCAACTTAGATCCATCTGCCAAGCGCTGGATTTGGGCCACAGCTTTGAAAAGCCAAGCGCCGGGGCCCGGCTTTGAGAGCTAGACGGACTTCCTCGAAAAGCCAAGCTTCTGACAGGGGGCCCACATACGTCTTGAAAAAGGGCTGGCCGTGACTAGAGTGCATCCCGTTTCCCCGGCCAAGCTCCCTGTATTTTTTGAGCTGTGAAAGGAGAGGGCATACACCTGTTTCTTCCAACAACGCAACATGTTTGTGTATAATGTATCTTGAAATCTACACAACCACCCAAGGCAAACAAGTGGCATAGGAAGTTGGAAAATCTCGGTATGCCAAACTTGAAAGACCTATCCAGACACTCCATGGACTGGCATATTTACAAACATTGACCCCTGAAGCCTGAAACCACCCCAATGTAGGTATATATGCCAGTCATATGCAGTCCCATGGAGTGTCTGGGTATATACTTCACAGGGCTGGTCGTTTTGGGTGTCATCACAAGAGATTCCACTGCCATGGGTCGTGGTGAAGATTCGTCCACCAGCAGTCAGATTCACTTTGGCTTCGAACAATAGACACACAAATAGCATCGACAGGGACAAGTTTGACAGTCGGGTCAGAAAACGACCCTGACAGGGTCAAATGTGTCACCTGTTCCAGGGTCAAATTAATTACACTCTCTCACTCACTAACGTGCGTTCGACTACTTTCTTCTACAAACAGTGGGTTTTCCACTTCCATGTGATGTGTTCGTCGGAATGTACTTGTTTTGGCAGGTCATTACGTTGTTCGTCCGGTCTCACGTGTCTCGTGGGCCGTGGATGTCGTGGTTCGGAGGAACTCTTTCCTCAGCTTTGGCTGTAGCCGCTGAATTCCCCTTTTTGGACCGCTTCTACTGGCTTCTTGCAGCAGCTTGCAGCTTCGTTGGCTGCGAAGGATCTGTGATCACTCAGTGTAGTCCATGCGCATCATGAGAGTCCTAAGCCAAATATGGTCAAAATGCATCAAACGGATCGAATGATTGCATTCCCTTAATTTCACCGGTCAGGGCGGGTTCAGGCCACCATCATTCCCCACACAGAAGCTGCACCTGCTTCTTTGGTGCAAAAATGCGGGCATCCAACGAATTCGGAATGGAAGGCATCGCAGCGAAGGAATCGCCGGCATCCCGGACGAACTCGGTCGACTTGGACCAGGACCGACCCCTGATTCAGACTGGAGTAGGGCATAGATCGACCATGTCCTATACTCGTACGTTGGAAAGGCTCTGCAGGTGAGAGAACTCCGATCATCCCATGGATCGTTTCATCTCCTTCAGGGTCTCCTGGATCGTTTCCACATTTGGTTTGTGGTTCAATGGATCACATATCCGAGGCAGTTTTCCAGCGTCCGCGAAAGGGAAGAAGGCCCAGTAATTACAAAGAACTGGACCATAGTACTATAAACATAATAAGCATTTTGGACAAACATCCTCCACCCAAAATCACATCCTTAATATGAATTTTCACCCGTCAAACTGATGTATTTTCCGAGACGGATTGCTAAATTGTGAGTGCTGCACTCGAAAAAGAAGGGTTCTGGATCGCGACGAACTCGTTGGGGTCCGGACTCCCACAAGGGATTCAGCTTCGTGATAAGCCTCCAAAGAAGAGAGGCAATGCAGGCAATGCAGATCATGGAGCCCCAGTGGATATTGGATCGAAGAAAAAACAATGCATGCGATAAGAGAAGAATTGAACAATGTGTGTGGTGATGATTGCTTTGGTTAGTTCACCAATAGTCCTTGTCTGGGTTTTTGCATAGTTCTCGCTTCTAATTGTCCATTGAACAAATATGAATGACGTTGAATAGCGCTGTCTTTCTTGCTCTCCGAGAGCACGAGAAACCCTCCATCTGGAGCTTTCTTTCACTGGCACCACAGTGGGTCAAGTATAATTACAGCATATTACAGCCCATTCTAAACGTGATCAAACCCCCACCAACCCGAGGGCCCTGCGCGCGGCAACGCGCTGTCACCGTGTCATATCCCCCTGTGTCGTCCGCTGCCTTGATGGGAAGTCCACTGAGCACCTGTCCGCAGCATCGGGTGTCCCAAAAACATCGGTGACAATGGTGTTTCATGTTCCAGAGTTAGTTGGACTCTAAATTGGTCAATTGAGGTCAATTAGATAATGGTGTCAATTGAGGTCATATGGTTTTACCTGGTTCAATCCGGGTGAAAACATTGAGGTCACCGCGATTTCAGGCCATGAAACTAGTGTTCAAACATCGCCAGAGCTTGCTTCTGCAAATCTTATGTGAAACATCATGAAAACTTAGTATTACTACTAGAAGGATGCTACTAGGGGCTCCTGGTATCGCTACAAGAAGCAAGGACACTACCAGGGGCTCCTGGCCTTACTACTAGAAGCAAGGACGCTACTAGGGGCTCCTGGTATCGCTACTAGAAGCAAGGACGCTACTAGGGGCTCCTGGCCTTACTACTAGAAGCAAGGACGTTACTGGGGGCTCCTGGTATCGCTACTAGAAGCAAGGACGCTACCAGGGGCTCCTGGCCTTACTAATAGAAGCAAGGACGCTACGAGGGGCTCCTGGTATCGTTACTAGAAGCAAGGACACTACCAGGGGCTCCTGGCCTCACTACTAGAAGCAAGGATGCTACTAGGGGCTCCTGGCATCCCTACTAGAAGCAAGGACCCTACCAGGGGCT